TCCTGTATCGATAGGTTCATGAGTGTTCATTGCTTTTATAATTTAGGATTTTTGATGTCTTGGTTTTGCTATCTTGTTTGATGGCCGTTGGAGTTATCACTGGTATGTGTAGCATAATAGTGAGATTTTAGACAGTCTGTTATGTATTGACACCTGATAAAATTGATCTTCAATTTAATTACCTTGACTCCTCATGAATGCTAGTATTAATGTTGCCAAATTAAATATCAGTACACCATGTGATCTTAATATCACTGGGGAATTATTATACTTGTTGGAATGTCGTTATGCAGTTGTGTAGATTAAGGTGTGACGTCCTTCTTTGTGTTTGCCACTAAAAGAAATAATAACAAAAATTACACCACTTGTGTACTCTGCCCTGGATGTTGGTATATGGCTTAATTTTTCTTTTCTTTGAAACATAAAAGGAAAAAGGAAGGTTTAGCTGTTCACAAAAATAAATTGATGAAAGAAAATGGAATTTTAGCATGATGAAGTTGATGATTTGTGGGACTTTGATTGAACTTTGACCCAGCTATTACATGACCTGCTGTCCATCTGTATCGTTTAGTTTATCTTATCTCAGTGTAAAAAAGGGTTGTTTGTGTGTCTGTATGGGCTAAAAGTGGGAGATGGAAGATGCTGATTCAGCATCATCTAGGTCAGTGTTTCTCAACCTGGGGGTCGGGACCCCTGGGGGGGTCACCAGGGGGTGTCAGAGGGGTCACCAAAAACCATCGGAAAACACAGCATTTTCTTTGTGGGAAGTTTGGCCCAATTTTATCATTGGTGGGTTATGAATGCTCTTTGCTTGAATTATAAATCCCAGCAACTACAACTCCCAAATGTCAATGTCTGTTTTCCACCAAACTCCACCAGTGACATATATTTGGACATATTGAGTATTCATGCCAAGTTTGGTCCATATCCATCATTGTTTGAGTGCTCTTTGGATGTAGGTGAACTACAACTCCCAAACTAAAGGTCAATGCCCACGAAACCCTTCCAGTATTTTCTGTTGGTCATGGGAGTTCTGTGTGCCAAGTTTGGTTTAATTCCATCATTGGTGGAGTTCAGAATGCCCTTTGATTGTAGGTGAACTATGAATCCCAGCAACTACAACTCCCAAATGACAGAATCAATCCCTCCCAACCCCACCAGTATTCAAATTTGGTCAAATTGGGTATTTGTGCCAAATTTGATCTAGTGAATGAAACTACATCCTTCATCTCAGATATTACAATTCATAACAGCAGCAAAATTCAGTTATGAAGTTGCAATGAAAATAATGTTATGGTTGGGGATCACTTCAACATCAGGAACTGTATTAAGGAGTCGTGGCATTAGGAAGGTTGAGAAACACTGAGTTAAACCTCATTATTTTTGACAGTATTTCAATCACCTTGTCTATTACTACATAATTGGCTTTCCAGCTGTAAATCCTCCACTTTTATGAAACCTGGGGACGCAACTTGTTAACAAGGTGACGTTAAGTAAACACGTTATTGCTTCTATGTTGTTGTTCATTCGTTCAGTCGTCTCCGACTCTTCGTGACCTCATGGACCAGCCCACGCCAGAGCTCCCTGTCGGCCGTCACCACCCCCAGCTCCTTCAAGGTCAGTCCAGTCACTTCAAGGATGCCATCCATCCATCTTGCCCTTGGTCGGCCCCTCTTCCTTTTGCCTTCCACTTTCCCCAGCATAACTGTCTTCTCTAGGCTTTCCTGTCTCCTCATGATGTGGCCAAAGTACTTCAACTTTGTCTCTAGTATCCTTCCCTCCAATGAGCAGTCGGGCTTTATTTCCTGGAGGATGGACTGGTTGGATCTTCTCGCAGTCCAAGGCACTCTCAGCACTTTCCTCCAGCACCACAGTTCAAAAGCATCTATCTTTCTTCACTCAGCCTTCCCTAAGGTCCAGCTCTCACATCCGTAGGTTACTACAGGGAATACCATGGCTTTGACTAGGCGGATCTTTGTTGCCAGTCTGATGTCTCTACTCTTTACTATTTTATCGAGACTGGACATTGCTCTCCTCCCAAGAAGTAAGCGTCTTCTGATTTCCTGGCCACAGTCTGCATCTGCAGTAATCTTTGCACCTAGAAATACAAAGTCTGTCACGGCCTCCACGTTTTCTCCCTCTATTTTCCAATTGTCAATCATTCTTGTTGCCATAATCTTGGTTTTTTGATGTTTAGCTGTTTTGCTTCTATAGTTTAAGTTTATTTTATCGATGATGCTCGCTGCTGTGTTACTTATACAGTCAAAAAGTAGGATAAAAATGTAGTAGTAGTAGTAATAGTAACAATGTTGTATTTCACTTTTAATGTTGCATCTACTTTACTTGAACGCATATGTAACATGGGAGTGAGTTGGTAAAATTTGTACTCTTAGTAGGAGTCAATACAGGCACATTCCTGGAAGATACAGCAACACCCAAAATCCACAAAACATCAATCCTATTATTGGGCCAAAACAAAAGTACAGTATATTCTGGCGTATAAGACTACTTTTTAACCCAAGAAAATCTTCTCAAAAGTCAGGGGTCGTCTTATACGCGGCTGTAGTCTTATGCATGGGAGTCGTCTTAACTCTATATTTTAACTGGAAAAGTTGGGGGTCGTCTTATACACCCAGTCGTCTTATATGCCGGAATATACGGTACACAAAATACATGATGCAAATTTTTGAAGGTTCAGTTGATTTCTTTATCAAAGGTACTAAAAAATCATAAAGGTGACAAAGATAATGTTGGAGCCACAGGATTACATTTTGTAAATATGTTGGTTTTGTTGTCAGTTAAAATGGTCTGGAGGTATATTAGTGATTGTAGAGATGATTCTTGTTTTTGGCCATGTGGGCACTGGAGGGCAGAGGGAATAGCTGCAAAATACAGGCAAAAAAAATTCAACACCTTTGGCAAGAGAAAAAAAAACAACTTCCCTTGAGATTTAAGTTTTTTCTGTTCTGAGTGAGGCTACCAACATCTTGAAAAACTTTTAGGTGCTTCTATGAGGAAAACTTGTCTGTAGTAATACAATGAAAAAGCATTTATTAACTTTTTTATTGGGACCACATTTGGCATGTTTTACCTATACAGTATCTAGAACATGAGTTCCTAACCTGTGGGTCCCCAGGTATTTTGGCCTACAACTCCCAGAAATCCCAGCCAGTTTACCAGCTGTTAGGATTTTTGGGAGTTGAAGGCCAAAACATCTGGAGACCTACAGGTTGGGAACCACTGATCTAGAAGCTTTTCTAGACATAACACTATGGGAGCTTCTTGAGAAATCAAATTATCTCTGCTTAAGGAAGGGATATCTAGTCTTACTGTTTTGGATGTTGTTGTATAGTATGCCCCCCCCCCCCGGCCAATAAAGGAATATCTTGTCCCAAGAAGATATGCTAGTTACTTTTTAATTGTCCTTTCCTTGGCAGGCAAAACCCCTTTTGTTCTAACAGGCTTTTAGGAATGGTTTCAGACTGTATGTGAGGAAAGTAACCACATTTTTTTCTTTCTTTTGCAAATAAAAGAATTATGAAGTATCTGGATATCTGTACCATGTTTTTCCTATCCCTTCTTCTCATGACATCAGTACCTCCACTTAATCCTTTCTGGGCAGGCTCAAGGGCTCATATGCCTGCTGCCCACCACTTTCATGCAGAAAGAGGGGTTATTTCTCAGTGAGCATTTATCAGTTTATCTGCATCATATTTGGACCATAAAATGGCATAGGATGTTTTGTCCCAAGTGCATAACACAATGTAAGAAAAAAAGGACACTGGTGACAATATGCAGACTGCTTTTGTCCCAAATGGCAAGCACCTGTGTGTCATAAATGGCCCATTCTTTAGAACTCTTGATGTGGCTGTGTCATAAATGACCTACCTTGTAGATGTAGTTCTGTGTGAACTCTGCAACAAATGTGATTCTGCAGTAGGTAAACATCCCATCTGCTAGCAAGAAGGTTAAGCATTCATGGGCAAAGCTGGAAAGCACTTCAGATTTCCAGAGACCAGCTTTAATAGTAAGGTGTCTGGATGTCATCTACTAATCCATAAACTTATGAACATAAAGTCTGTGTGCCTATCTGTGAACTTTAGAACTCAAGATACCTCTTCAAAATAATGAAAGTTTTAGCAGCTAAGATTTTAAAAAATCAATCCAGATGTATTTTATTGCTTGTGCAGAAATGTTTTTTTGAAGAGAGTAATGGGTCCATCGGGGTGCATAACTTTTTCTGAGGTACTATACAGTAAATCAGATCAGTGCATTAATGTTACTGAGAAACAAACACCCACTAGTATTAATGAAGCAGGAAAGCTATTTCAAACTGACAGTAAGTAATATTGAACTAGTATAAGAAACTACTAGTATAAGTCAAGTTTTTCGACAAGAAGACCTCAAAAAATCTGGGGTGGCTTATACATGGGACGCTGTAAGTATATGCCTATATCATGCCTGGGCAAAGAAATGGTGGTGGTGGAAGCTCTTTGGTGTCCCAACTTCTGTAGTGGAAAGGGCACAGTGATTCTATTAGGTTCTCTTGGAATAGACTACACTTCATCTCTTCTGGGTAGCTCAGGATGGAGAGAGATGGTTTACTCATGAGTAAGCAAGTGGATGATCACAACCTCTCGCTCACCCACTTTGTGGCTGCTTCTCCAACTCAAGCAATGGCATCATATCAAAATCCATATTTTGACAACAAAGCCTGCCTTATACTAATGCACAAGGTCAACTTATACACAAGTATATATGGTAATCAGGTTTTGATTTGAGGAACACAAACACAGGGGCTATTTACATTAGTGACAAATCAGCTGGACGCTGTGGTATTTTCTAGCTAAGTAATGGATCAGCTTTTTAAAAAGGGATTTCTTTTTTGTTACCTGTCTGAAATTGCTGCTTCACTTTCCTACTGCTGTGACTAATTACATACCAAAACAACAGAATCCCTATTGTATCTTGAATGTGATTATGAATTTCTCTTTACACAGGCTTTGATTCTGATAATTCTTCCGGAGAATTTTCAGAAGCAGTTCATAAAGTTGATGTGGATGCCCACCAAAGTCATCGGGCAGGAAGACACAATGGAGATGGGCCATTGCAAGAGAATGGAATCAAGAAACACAGGTATTCTCTAAAGCAGGCTGATATGCACTTCCTATCTAGTTGATGCCAGATATGGGGGCACCTTTCATGTAGATGTCTGTTTAGACATAATTATTTGATAACCACACTTGATTGATTTTTTCTTCCTGGGAATAAGAGTTGAAGGCTACTCTTTTGCAACCTAAAGAATGACATTTTAGGATTATACTAGGCAATATATAGAACAATGATGTTCTGCTTTCAGATAAACCTATAGCTGGAATCTTTCTTGGTTGAAAGTTTTAAAAATGTATAACTGTCCTTCTTTTTTAAAAGCATGTTGAATGAAATGCAAAACTTTGTGAAAAGGCTCACATAAAAGGCAGTCCTAAGTAAAACAATTGAACAACTAGTGACAATTTTTACATTCATCCACTACAACAGTACTAATAAGAGATGGGTGGTATGGGTTGTTGTAGGGTTTTTTTTAGTGGTATGTATTAACTGCCACATCATATCTTAATGCAAATAATAAAATGGATGTCCTGAATACTTTTTTATTGAAAAAAATAAAATGAGGAACATTTATCTAGACGTGTGCAAATATTTGTTTGTTGTTGTTGTTCATTCGTTCATTCGTTTCCGACTCTTTGTGACCTCATGGACCAGCCACGCCAGAGCTCCCTGTCAGCCGTCACCACCCCCAGCTCCTTCAGAGTCAATCCAATCACTTCAAGGATGCCATCCATCAATCTTGCCCTTGGTCGGCCCCTGTTCCTTTTTCCTTCCATTTTCCCCAGCATCTTCTCCTTTCTTCTCATGATGTGGCCAAAGTACTTCATCTTGCCTCTACTATCCTTCCCTCCAATGAGCAGTTGGCCTTTATTTGTTACCATAAACAGTGGAAAGAGTGACTTATTTGAAAGGTTACATGCCATGTGTTTCACTAAACACAGCCTTTTAGCTTGAATTGAAGATATATAGAATTCTAGAGTATATCTTGCTTTGTTCTGTGTTGTTAATAGCAATACTTCAAGTCCGTGCATATTTCCTTTGGATGTCTTGTTGCTTTGAATCAATCTATTGCTTCCGACAAACAAGACATAACTTCTCAATTTTAAAATCACACCCAGTGCATCCCCTTCTGGATTTATAGAAAAATGTATTTAGGCAGTTCATCAGATGATAATCACAGTCAAGCATCTTCATAATACTGTGAAGATCACGTATAAGTATAATGTAAATATGGGGAGAAAAAGATTCAGAGAAGGAATGTGACTGCATTAAACCCTGTTGACGCATAGCCATTAAACCCTGGACAAGTTATTGAAACCTGCAGAGTCTCATATCTGTCCTTTCAAAGATGTACAGTCATTAATATGTGCAAGTGAGGGTAGTGACCATTGTCGATGGATGCTTTTCAAGAAAAGTAAGTGGCAGTAATACTAATCATCAGTTCATTTGTTCTTCCTACAGGACAACATTGCCTGCCCCAATGTTTACTAGGAGTGATTTCAGTGTCTGGAGTATCTTGAAAAAATGTATTGGACTGGTAAGCTATTGTCTCATCAAAGTGCATTTGCTGTGATTCTTTTGATAAAGTGATGCATTGTGATATGGGAAAATGATGTTTGCCATTCTAAACTAGAAATATAAAGGGGATTTCAAGAAACAAGTGCATTAGGAAGAGCTTTGAAACTTCTAATTCGAGTTAGATTAACTACTTAACAGTAAGCCTAACTTCTTCTCAATAACATGTTATCCAACAGTTTTCCAGAAATGCTTATTGTGGTGTCATCTTTAGTTTATCTAAATTAAGATATGCCCCAATATGTGTTAGAGCTAGTTCATATGTTTGGTAAATGACTGATTTGTACTATAGAACATGTATTTGTAGTTTTATAATTAATTCATTTTTGTGTTAAAGAACTAGATGGCCAGTCCATAAGTGAGTGATTCATCACCATGGAATTTGTTCCCTCTAAATGGTTGCCTTAGTTCCCTCCACTATCCTTCAAAAAGGACCTTTAGACTCTTAAAAACAAAGTCAATTTTTACATTAAGTTTATGTTGCTGATTCTCCTTTTATTCGCAACCTTATTCTGGTTTAATTGATTAGAATGGCTTTGTGATAATATATTAAATAGTTATTTTTTCCTAAGTACAGATTCAAAATCTTTATTTGTTCTGAGTATATAATACTGCATTATTTAAATTGAAGCTAGTGGGGTTTTATGATTCATTTTTGTTTGTCCTGAACCATCAAAGGCTGTATCCAGTTTGACTTCCCTTTCCTAATCTTTTACCCCAGTCACAGATTTCACACATGTACCCATTGAAACCTGTGTTTGTGTGATTTGCTATTTAAACATAAACCTTCTTTTGCCTGGTTTAAGAGCTACCCCACCTGTTTTTTTAGAAATAGGAACTGCTTAAAGTGTCCTGGGGAAAGGCAAAATTTTGATGTGTTTTTTGGACACAGTTTCATGTTTGAGTGGGTGGGTGGGTGGGGGATAATGGTAGGTGTTCTTTTAGGCTACCACCTGTAGTTTGCCTACCTGTTGTTTCTGTCATTTTAATCAGAACCTATATTGAACATCCAAGCCAGTCCCTTCTGTTAGTTCTCAGAAATTGTCCGGTATGTGGAAGTAGGAAGGGGAGACAAGCTACTAAGCGATAATACTGTCTGCCGTCAAATGAGTTCATCTTCATATGCCCTGTGCAAAAGTAAACACAGTGCTTCAGCCTCCATACCATAGAGCAAACAATGTCATACTGATCTTTGTGGTTTCTGTGACACATGCGTATAGATAGTTTTGTCTCTGTGCAGAGCTTGTTGGAAGCTAAGCTGAGCATTTTTGGCAGGAGCACTATCCCTCTGTTCCACCCATGTTAGGGATGCTCCTTCCTTTGCCCTCAGTTCCTTTTTGTTTACTGCACTGGAAAAGAATGTTGGAACTTCTTGTGCTTTGAGACAGTGTTCTTGGTGCAAGACAGCTGACTTCTGAAGTTCATTTTACTCTTCTAATTCCTTAATCTTCTTATCTGCATCTGCCTTACCACTTTTCTTCTATCATTACTGGATTTCATGAGAGGCAGAACAATCTTCATTATGGAGATAGGGAGCTTCATGAGCTTCAGGACTATGACTGCATGAAGCCTTGCTGACTTATCACTGATGAAATAACTCTCTCTGTGTTGCTGAGGTTAGAGAAGTGAGGCAGAAAGGGCTGTTTACAAAAGGAATGCTACAGTTTATTAGTTTTTGGGAAGAAAATGTATGAGGAAAAGTTGAAGGAGATAGGCATATTTGACTTGTGAAAAGAAGGCCTCAAGGGCAGTCATAGAGAAGAATGATCAGACTTCTTCTCTGCTGCCTCAGAGGGAAGGTCTAGGTCTAATGATTTGAACTTATTGGAGAATAGAATTTGAATGAACATTAGATGGAAAATCTTTACAGCAAGAGTAGTTCAGCAGTTCAACCAATTGCCTGTGGGATCATCTTTGAATAATCCAGGTTTTTCTGCATTATTTAAAGACATCTTCATTTACATTTTTACTTCCCGATCGGTGTCTAAGTCGCCATTCCTTGAGGCCTTCCAACTTTCCCATTTCAGCCCTCTTTGTATATTCTGATGTTGCCTTACCGGTTTGTTTCCCTCTAACTTTCCATTTGTGTAAAGATAAAAACCAGAATGTTGTAGTTCGTATTAGGGTTTTAAAATTGTGGACGAAAGCCATTGTTTGTTTTTAATTTATTTTAATTTTTCTCAGTGTCTGTGGTGTTGTCTCAAGTCGTTCCTGGTTGTTGTTGTTGTCCCGCAGGAGCCATTGAGGTTATTCCTTTGGGGGTCTCTTTTCTCTGGACGTTTTAAGAAAGGGGCTTGACAGCTATCTAGTGGAGATGCTCTGAGTCTAACTGGGGATCCCGCATTGAGCAGGGGGTTGGATTTGATGCTCCATGAGGCACCTTCAAGCTTTATGATTCTGTGATTCTATGTTACTCCGGTCATGGATCTACTGAGTTAATGGAGCTAATATTTATGTGCAAAAGGCACATCCCACCTTTGATGTAGAAAATATTGTCATAATAAAAACAACTAGAACCCTGCATCATTTGAAATCTGGGCACAAAAAACAACCAGTAAAACAATAGAATGTTCTCTAGCTAATTCTGTTTCCTGTGTGCTTAACTTTTTCTCATCTTTTAAAAAGGAACCTATAATTTCAGCCATTGCAGCATCTTGTAGTAACAAATTTTGTGTGTGCATTTATCTTTTAGAGAAAGCTGGGTTTTCTATGAACAAGTTCGTGTATTTGAAAGAGTCATTTGATTCCTCAGCCCACAGCTTTTGAATGTTATAAATCTTTCTGCTCGGCCTCCCCATTTTCTTCTTAAGATGCAAATATGGAGAACTTGGCAGTTTGAAAGGATGCCCAAATTGTATCACTGTCTCTTGAACTTTTTCCAGGCTTTAGTGCGTTATCTTTTTTAAGATTGGGCACCTGGACCTACATACAATATTCATGAAGTGAACGTACTTAGTTTAATATGTTTAATGATGTTGCATATGGGAGCCATTTCCTGTTTAAATTAGACACCAAAATGTGCAGATAATAATAGGATCTGAATAATAAAATTAAGAGGTAAAATTGAGCTAATCTTCTATTGTGTTATCGATGTTCATGGCCTGGAGATCACTTTTGGTGTAGAAAACTTTCCTGAGATAATGCAAATTATAGATAATTTTGGCTACCCATAATAGAAAAGCATAAAGGGAAATGGGCTACAGTCCATCAGTATTTATGCTAAATAACACCTGTTATTTATGCTAAATGCTCCTGGAAATTATGCAAAGGTAGGATGATTAGTTAAAAATCAATTTTTATCATGTCACATTCTGTTACCAACCATTCTTTTATATTTTTCATAGCTGTCTATGACTCACATTCCTCTCTATACTTTTATGACTCCCTCCCCCATGGTTTAGGAGCTGTCTAAGATTACCATGCCTATTGCCTTCAATGAACCCCTGAGCTTCCTCCAACGGATAACGGAATATATGGAACACACATACCTCATTAATAAAGCATGCTGTCATTCAGATCCTTTAGAAAGAATGCAGGTAATGTTTTTCCCATCTTTTCTGTGGCTTGATGATGCCTCACTCTTCCTTTCCCATTCAAATTGTGTGCATTACTGTGACTGACAACCTACCATATAAAGGTATAAAGAAACTTAATAAGTTATGAATGATTTTTCACAATCATATAAAATTCTGAGCCATCTTGAATTAAACTTTTGCCAAAAAAGTGGAATATTGATGACAATGACAACGTCATCACTATTTTGACATAAGGATGATCCAATTTTAATGGCTAAGGTCCTACATTACAATACTCAGGCACACTGAGGCCATATCTTACTTATGCATCCTTCAAACCCTCTGCCATTTTATGAGCAAAATTGTTGCTTTAAAGATGAAAAAGGGGAGACACACTCCTAGAAGCCTCTAGAAATCTTCCTAAAAACAAAACATGCTTCCTTGTGTATTATATAAAAAGTGACAGATTTTGCCACTGGCACATTAATGTGTTCCTGAGTCCTGCTGTAATAAGTAGTTAAGCCGACTTGTTTACTCATAGGTAGCATTTAACCATCCATGAGAGTAAAACTGTGAGGAGGGGATTATGGTCAGGTGATTGAACAAAGATTGTTATGGATGAAGGTTTAGCAGCTTCAAAATCTATGCAAATCTCTGTAAATTTTCTTTTGTAAAAGGAGGTAATTTTATATAACTTTGAATTCTGGGGAGAATATTGAGGCTTTATTAACTTTCAGAAGTTTATTTATCTTAGAATTCAGACATGGGTGTCCATAACAACCCCAGAATGTATGTAAATCTAGGCTGAGCAGGTTTAGAAAGAAATTACAACACCACTATCAAATTGTCAGAGCTTTACTCGAGTTTGGCAATTGTCTCCAAAAAGTGAGCATGATTACACTGTAATTAAGATCTGTGGGAAAGTAATTGTTATTTTGGAAATGTTCGCTGTTTAACCTATATGGATTTTGCAGGCTGTTGCTGCTTTTGCTGTCTCTGCTGTGGCCTCTCAGTGGGAGAGAACTGGCAAACCATTTAACCCTCTCCTTGGAGAAACATATGAATTAATCAGGTGAGAAACTAGGTTGAAATTCTACATGTTAATGATCTGCTATTATCTTAGCATTTGTGCAAGAGGAAGAAAGTGCTGGCAAGAGAAGGTGGTGGAAATCCTTATCAAATTAGCAGGTGGTAAAAAAACTGAGAAGTATGGCTTACACATTGCAAGGTCGGAACAGAATTCAAAAATGAAGTAAAAAACTGGTCTGAATTTAATATAATTTAATATAATTAAATTCAACAGAGACAAATGCAAAGTTCTACATTTAGGCTACAAAAGCCAAATGCACATGTATAGGATGAGGGATATTTGGGTCCAGGCTATTGACTAATCACATCTCCTCCTATAAACCAACCTGGCACTCAGGTCAGAGGAGGAAGCCCTGCTCTTGGTCCCACCCCCATTGCCAGCACGGTTGAGAGAGAGAGAGTGAGCCTCTCCATGATTGCCCCCCACCTCTGTAACTCCCTCCCTAAAGAAATAAAGCTGGTCCCCTCCCTTCCCTTCTTCAAAAAACTGAAAACTTATTTCTGTTCATGAGCATACAGAGAGGAGGAGGTTTAGATGATGAGAGACAACTACTAGACCTCTGACTGAAAACTATTATTGTATTCGGACTTGGGCAGATCATGTTAGCCCAGTTAACATCACTGGTCACATAATCAACTCACATATCTTAATGAACCTTCATTGGCTTCTGTAAATTAATGTGGATGTTTTATGTTTATGTTTTATTTTAAATATAATTTTTGTTAGGTAACGTTTTATTTAATTTATAGATGTCATGTTATAAATTGTTTTCATATGTGGGGTTATTCTGGGTTATTATGTTTGTATTTTTTGTTATACTGAGGTATTGATTTTTTGCCTTTTTGATTTGTTGGAACATGCCCTGAGTCCCCTTGGGGAGATAGGGTGAAATATAAATAAAGTTTTTATTATTATAAGAAGTGATGCTGCAGCAAAAGAGGTAAAGGCTATTTTAGCCTGCATTAATAGAAGCAAAATTTCCAAGTTATGGAAACCTTGCTGTCCGATTGTGGATAGCATGGTTAAGAGTAAATGTGATGTTTTTATATGTTTTAATGTGTTTTAAATTCTAAGGAATCAAATAGTTGCCTGTGTGTAAAGCTGCCTTGAGTCCCCTTCGGGGTGTAGAGAAGGGCAGGGTATAAATATAGTAAATAAATAGTTCCCTTATATTCCACACTAGTCAGGCCTAATTTGGAATGATGTGTTCAGTCCTGGGCACCTCATTTCAAGAAACATATAGATATGTTGAAGTGAAAGCTCAATGGGGTGATAAGTGGTATAGAGAAAAATATTTGAGGAAAGATTGAAGGAGCTAGACTTGTTCAGTTTAGTGATGACTGAGTAGTTCCTCCCACTCTCTAAATCCTTCAAGAGCTACATAAAGTGGAGGAATCAGGTTTGTCCTCTGCTGCCTCAATGGGTAAAGCTAGATCGAATGGTTTTAAGTTACAGGAGAGATCCCAATTGAACATTAAAAGGAACTTCTTGATAGAGAGAGTCTTGACTTGGCAAAGCTCTCCTTCTCTGGTTGTCTTCAAAACAGTTACGTGCTGGGGATGCTCCAATTGATTAGGGGGTTGGAGCTGATGATTTATAGGACTCCTTCCAACGGCTTCTATGGCTGCTGATTGCAGACCATTTATGTCTCAAATACCTGGCTTTGGAAGTAGGGGAAATTGGTTTGGGAGGTTTAACCAGTAGACAATACTTAGTTATGCATTCATAACTACATCAGTGATACAGGATTTTTGCCAGTGCTCAAATATTTTACTGAATCTGTTTTATCAGAATGTCAAGAAGTCTAATGTGGTGGGATAGGTAGGGGGATAGTTCTTTTTAACTCTTACTTGACATTGACGGTAAGACTATTTCAGCAAGCAAAATTCGCATGTGGGTTTCTGTCTTTTTTGTGTGACTGTCATTTATATTGTACATTGCTTTTCTTATTTCCAGGGAGGATTTAGGTTTTAGATTTATTTCTGAACAGGTTAGTCATCACCCACCTGTCAGTGCATTTTATTCAGAAGGCTTAAATCAGGACTTCATTTTTCATGGATCAATTTACCCTAAACTGAAGTTCTGGGGGAAGAGCGTTGAAGCGGAACCTCGGGGAACAATAACATTGGAACTCTTGAAGTAGGTCTTTTTTTTCTTCTGTTACCTATGCATAACTGAACACTATTCCAAATAAATAAGTTGTTTAGTGATCTTTTCCAGAACTATGTATGCCTGTGAGTCATTGAGTTTGTATAATGCAGATTTTAAAAATGTGGACTAAGAAATGTGGTATTAAGCACGTACACACACACATGCAGCATATGGATTTGTTGGGGCGATTTGAAAAGATGTTTGCAATCATATGTTTGAATATGCAGATCATATGTCTGCAGTATTTGGGCCTCATTTTCCCCCTTAGGCATTTGATATCTACTGAATCAAGAGTGAATTGTTCTGTCTGTAGAACTGCTCTGAAGTGTGTGTGTTGATACAACAAAGAGTTGACATAATCTTGGACTCGTATAATAAATCATTCCCAATAGTAACAATAGCTTTAACATTTTAGTACATGGGATTCTTTAAGTAATAGAATGAGCAAATGGATACATCTGAATATTTTTGGAATAAAAAAGAGAAATAACAACTGTGAAACTTGATAAACATGCAAGACAGGATTCACAAATGGCCTTCTGTAATAACTAGGTCAAAGTATAAAATGCAAAATAGTTTAAAAGCAGAGCTTGACATCAATATAATTTCTATACTTAGAAAGATATCACAAAATATATGTCTGCCTTTAGTATTCAAACTCAATTCTGCACAGTCCTTTTATGAAATGATATTCCATCCAAGTTCTCTGGTCTTCTCCTATCTTGAATGTCATGGTAGAAGACCCAGATGTCTTTTCAGGCTGTAAATTACTGAATTCATTGATAAGAAAATTATATATCTGTTCTATACAATAATTGCAAAGTATCTTGTGCTGAAGATTTTAAGAGGCAAGTATCTCATTGAGTCCATATAAATGGGAAAATTGAATTTAAGAATTCCTTGTTCAGATTTATAATCTCTAAAAACATAGGGATTAAACCGTTGGGGGCATTGTGTGGTCACATGATGGAGGTTTAGAATATTTTGAATGGTATGAAGAAACTGGATAGAGTAATTTCTTCTTAAGTTATTTCATATAACACATATTGATCTTATGAATCATCTTGTTAAAATATATGGGAATGAAAATGGCTTTAGATGGCTTTCATAATCAAGAAGATGATTGGAGTCTTATCCCTGGCCATAGTCAAGAGCAGTGTTCCTACCGGGCACCAAAATGACTGGGGAAGTCTGTTGTCTTCTTGCCTTGTTTGTGGATTTATGGAATCACCTGGCTTATCACTGTTAGCTACAGATGCAGAGCAAGTCCTACATATCTCGACCAAGCTCTAGATATGTAGGACTTTGCAAACACAGATCTCGAAGGGAAACTGTAGTGGAGTAAACCTAATCACAATTCTACTTGGAAAGGGATTGCAGTGCTATTCTATGCAAGTCTGCTTAGAAGTAGCCCCATTAGGTTTGAAGATTAAATCTTTAAAAGACTTCAAAGTCAGTAATTTGATAATCAGAAATGACTGGATATAATAAAAAGAATAATATGTCACAGGTGAAGTAGTTCATCTTTTTCTTTCGAACTGGACGATTTGACAAATTCCAGTCAAACCTTTCCCTTTGCAATCTTCCATTCTATTGAGATGAATTATGCATATGGGTACATTCTGTTAATGTTTGTAGCAGATTTAAACATTTCTAGTAACAGTGCCAGTCATTTTATGGAAAATTCCACCCGGCATTATAAGGATAAACTAGGAATCGCAGTAGTGCAACTTTGTTGTTGCATGCCTTCAAGTCATTTCCAATTTAAGCTTATCCTGAAGCAGTGGTTCTCAACCTGTGGGTCCCCAGATGTTTTGGCCTACAATTGCCAGAAATCCCAGCCAGTTTACCAGCTGTTAGGATTTCTGGGAGTTGAAGTCCAAAACAACTGGGGACCCACAGGTTGAGAACCACTGTCCTACAGTGAACTTATCACAGGGGTGTCTTGGCAAGACTTGCTTGCAGGGGGAGGGGGGTTGCCTTCCTCTAAGTGTAAAAGTGTTCCCAAGGTAAACACTCTAAAACAGGCATGAGCAAACGTGGGCCCTCCAGGTGTTTTGGACTTCAACTCCTAACAGCTTAAGAAGCTGAGAGGGGAAAGGAAAGGGCCTGAGGCTGTTAACTGTGGGAGCTGAAGTCCAAAACACCTGGAGGGCCCACATTTGCCAATGCTTGCCCTAAAGATTTTCAATTCCAGATTTGTTTGCCTGAAGTTTGAAATGTTCCATGACTTTAACCGTGTTTTCTTGTTAAGAATATAAAAATGAAGGGCTAAAAACCAAAACAAAAGTATAGGTACCTGTCCCCACATTTAAGCCCACCCTTGGCGTAAGGCATTAGCAGCCATAACCTCATTTTCAGATTATTAAATAACTTTAGGCATACTTCCATCCTTTCATTCATGGGCTTTTCAGATTGTCTTCATTTCAAAGTATTACACATTGAAAAAGGCTAATGGTGAGTGTTGAAGAGAACACTATGCAAACAGGAATGCTTTGTTGGATGATGAATTGGAACAAATAAACTAATGTTAATTTCAGATGCATTTTAGTTAATTCTCTTTTCATTTGTCTAGCATCTGATTAGGCTTTTCTTTCCCCCTCACAGGCATAATGAGGCTTACACGTGGACAAATCCTACATGCTGTGTACATAATGTAATTATTGGCAAGCTCTGGATAGAACAATATGGGACAGTAGAAATTATAAATCACAGGTAACATCTGTTTAAACCACATTTTCCTTCCTAAAAACTGCAAGTAGAATGGGGCTGTGGGTGGTATAATCACTTAAGAGTCAAGTTTTTCGACTCATTATTTGGAAGGCAGCTAAGAAATAATGGCCTGTTTGGGTGGATGCTAATTTTTCCTTACTGTTTTAAGTAAAAATGTGCTTGTCGGAATGAATTTTTATGTTTCTGGTTGATACACACACAGATGCTCCTGTTAAAAGAGCTGTTTTCTAAGAAATTCTTTCATAATGATGATTTTTGTAACAATGACTCAGTGACCTTCACCTCAGAACCAACATCAAGACTGTCAACTATCAGATAGGATATTCTGTAAAACAACAATTAGGCAAGTGTTTGTTTGATGTAAACAAAAAGAAGATGATGAAGCAGAGAGGAAATGTCTTCTCTTCCTACAATAAGGTGTTCTACTTGGTTTTTGAAACACCTGCTTGCCTCTAGATGTTTACCACCTCCTCCGTCTGAGCTATATTGTCCTCTTCCTGTTGTAGAGACCATTCATAAGGCCAGAGATTTAACCAGCTGTAGACAAGCAATAGGTTCTATCTTAGGGCCCTTCCACACAGCCCTATATCCCAGAATATCAAGGCAGAAAATCCCACGATATCTGCTTTGAACTGGATTATCTGAGTCCACACTCAGATACAAAAGCATCATAGGGATTCTGTAAAATCTTAAAAATCAAAATTGAAATGGATTTTTAAATAAAACCACACAAGGCTAACTTGATCTGTAGTCTCTGTAATAGCTATTTGGTGCTATAACTATTGCAATGAGGGATGTAGTTACTGACTACACATTTCAGCATTTTACAACAAGTGTGATTTGTCCATAGTCGATTTTTTCCATTGATTCCACATTTCTTTTTTAGCCTTTTTCTTTCATTTTGAGATAAAAGTCATTTGGGATATTGGGATATTGTTAATAAAGTATCAAAGTAAAATCTATTCAAAATTAGATGTTGTATAGAAAATTGGAAGATGTGTTTGAATTAGAGTAAAATTCATAATTTACATTTTGATTTAAAAAGTAATGGGGTTTCATAGAAAATTAATGTCTTCTGAAAGGTTCCAAAACCCAAAATCAATTGGAACCTTTCATGTAGAGAATCATTCAACCTCAAAGCCAATTTCAGTTCATCAGAGATCATTAGCCTTGCACCATACCTGTTTGGCACCCCAAAGTAGACCTATTAATGTCACATACAGCAGCAGTAGGTCCAAGGAGCTTCTGGTGCCAGAAAGGACTGGTATGAGATAGATAGGAACAAACCCTAGGAGAGTTAGGACATTAATTTCATTTTTTTTCTTTTACAGTACTGGGGATAAGTGTATACTTAATTTTAAGCCTTGTGGACTATTTGGTAAAGAACTTCACAGAATAGAAGGCCACATTCAGGACAAAAAGTAAGTGGTGTGTTTGCTTTTGGTGTTGATTATGGATCTATCTATCTACAGTATCTATCTATCTATCTATCTATCTATCTATCTATCTATTTATCTATTTCCCTATGCAGGCAAAATATAGCATTCTTCCCACTTGTAGTGAAACAAGCTTTGCTTCTCTCTATCGTTCTTTCCCTCTCTTTCTCTTTATTCTTCTCTCTCCCCTTTCCTCTTTTAAGAACCCAAATCCATCACTCAGAAGTAAGCTTTTGACTTTTGGTGGGAAACAACAACTATAATTGATGAACTGAACACTGTGGATGAAGTAAAATACTCAATTCACTATATTGTTGAAGGCTTTCATGGCTGGAATCACTGGGTTGTTGTAGGTTTTTCGAGCTATATGGCCATGTTCTAGAATCATTCTCTCCTGACGTTTCACCTGCATCTATGGCGAAACATCAGGAGAGAATGCTTCTAGAACATGGTCATATAGCCCGAAAAACCTACAACAACTCAGTTCACTTTTTAAACCACATCCACTATTTTTCTTCTTGAAGCATTGCTACAGGCTACGGATGGGGGTTGGTCCTTTTAAGAACTACTAGTGGAAATAAGATTGGCTGGTTTTTTTTTCTGTACTTGATTTCTCTAAGGAAGTCTGTACATAATGATCCCCGAAAGGGCAATATAGATCCATAATACGGAATACTACTCAAGTATATCTGCACATCTTGATTCTTGAATGACATGTATGGCAGGTTTTGGATTACTTCTCTCTCTTGTTAATTTCCATTTTCCGTGCAAACATTTGGTGAATAAACTATTTTAAAATAGTTTACATCACTAGCTTAACTTAAAGTTTGATCTTAAATATTTAAAACATAAAATAATTAAAATGTCTGCTTCTTGAAACATCAGATCTAGTTATTGCGTCATATGCTTTGATGCTATCCTGTTTGGATGAGGCACTCTATGTGGGGCTGTGTTTGGAAACTCCAGAAGTTTCCATTATTCAAAATGTTGCCCACTGTTGAAAAAGATTTGTTATTTCATTCCATTTTTGAGCAGAATTCAAAATGCTTTTTAAAGCCCTACAAGGCTTGGGTCTAGCCTGTCTAAAAGACTTCTCTCTATGCAAGCCAGCCCAAGTTTTAAGATCTTTGATGGAGGGCTTTGTCATGATACAACCACCATCACATTTGATGACAAAATGAGAAGGAGCCATCTCAGTGGCTGCTCACAGGCTGTGGAAATCCATTTCATGGGAGCTTTGGGTGGCTCCCCCTCTTCTCTCTTTCTGCTCCCACACCAAGGCCTTCTTATTCAAGCAGGCCCTTTGTGCTTAAATTATGAAACAGAAGGATGATCCAAATGTGTTATGCTATGATTTTATATTTTTCTTTGTGTTTTAAACAGACATTTTGAACTGTGTGCAGTTCCAGTCGAATTCTTCAGTTAAATATTTTATACTTCATAAATACGATTTTAGCTGTACTGTACTTTAAAAAAACAAAAACAAATTGTAAGCCACTTTGAGACTCTTTCCAGGAGAAATGCACAGCATACATTATGACATTTCCCTGTAATAACCATCTTAGAGAATAAACTACCTGCTTTTTCAGTTATTCATTTCTATTCTGTTTTTTTAACAATCAGTAAGAAGAAACTTGCAGTTATCTATGGCAAATGGACAGAATGTTTATGGTGTGTTGATCCTTCCACTTATGAAAACTACAAGAGGAATGAGAGGAAAGGTGGCGACCAGAAGAAGCCAAAGCCGGTAATGTTGACCTAGGTTGCTGCCCTGAGTCCCTTTGGGCAGAGGGGGTGGGATATAAATAAATGTTGTTGTTGTTATTGTTATTATGTTGCATTGGCAGGAGGAGGAGTTGAGCTCTCTTCCACATTAAGCAAGTTTTCCAAAAGAGAAACATTTGGAGGAACTAAACTTACAGTGCAAGCTGAAGAAACTGAAGTTCTTAGTATTTTTATTACTTTTGTGACAGGAGTCCACACCTTCAAATGGTATTCTGTGAAACTGCTAGGGAGGTATCCAGTATTGTCCATCCATTGGTTGAAAAGCATTTGAGCCAATAGAAATGTTTGTGACTGGGGTGGAAGGAAAGCATTTTTTGCAGATTTCTTTCATTCTGATTCCCAGTTTCTTTCATGGATGGTTGAGGAATCTGTCATACCAGAACTTGTCAACGAAAAGGAGAATTGCAAAAAAATAATAATATCAGCATTCAAGGAGAATACTTGTTTCAGAAATGCTTCTGTAAATAGAAATAGAGTGTTGCGTTCAGCTTCATTGACTACAGTGAGATGTGTCCTTCAGTAGCTTTCTGGAATGAGTACTGAACAAAGCTACTGTTCGATAATGATACACATCTTGTATCTTCAAAATTATTAGATGAAATTGTGTGTTTGTGCTGAGTTGTATGGGTTTACATTGAACCTGTACTATTAAGCACATGCATTTCTTGCTCAGCCAGTTAATGGCAAAAAGTTTTCATTTTGCCTCCTACTTGTCCTGTAGTCCAAAAATCTCCAAGCATCAACATCTAGTTTTAATGTCCCCCAAATCAGATTCTTTTCTTGATGAGTTTGCATTCTGGGACTTCTCTGTTTTCTGGGGGAAATAGACTGCTTGGGCTCATCACTTGTTCACGTCACATCAAATAATAATGTGTTGAAGTGACTCTGTTACACTTGAGCCATCTGAACTTTTTGTAGAGGAAACCGGCAATTGGGACCAAGAATTTTAAAGTTGCCATTTACCATCAAGGCCTTTCCTTTGTTTTAAGAGTGAGGAACCTGAAAACGATGAAGCTGATGATATGCCAGAAATCCAAGAGACTGTACAAGTCATACCTGGCAGTAAGCTACTTTGGAGGATAAGTACTAGACCACCAAATTCATCTCAGGTAAATTGCTCAAAATGGTACATAGGGTGGAGATGTGCATTTACATAAGAGAATTCAAAAGTCCCAGTTTAATTATATATAGAAGAAAACATTTAAATTGACAACTGAATGTGTCTTATCAAACTTTTTGAGTTTACCAATACTGGAATAAGAATGGATATTTCTTGAGTCATAAACACTGTAGAATTGTTATTGATAATGTTATTAGTTTAGTTTCAATATTATGTTATAGAATCCTTAAGGAATGACAAGTAAGGAAATAGGCATATCTTTAAGACAATAATCTTGAAGGGATGAAAATAGTAGCCTTTTAGATGACAACAAATTACAGCAAACTTAGTTAACTGCCAATAGTAAGGGATTATGGGACTTGCAGTCTGGGTGGACAAAGTCTCCTATCTCTGCCTTAAAACAGGAGTAGGAAATTTATAGTGTTGAAGGGCAACTCCCAACAGCTCCAACCCGTTTATGCAATAGTGGAGAATTTCCAGTGGGTTGCACCGAGGGATCATGAAATGAAAAGAAACTAATACTTTAATCCAAACTGCAACTGATGATAGTTAATCCACCTGTAGATTAATCCATATAATTTTCCCCACATACCTCCACCTCTCGAAAACAAGTGGCAGTTAAAACTAAACATCATTTAAACATTTTGAAACCTCATTGATTTGTTACTCACCTCTAAATTGTAATGCCATGTGATTAACATGTTTTCCTATAAACAGTTGAGCTAATGATTGTTGTTGAGAACATTGTTTATCGAAAAATGTGGCTCAGCCTGTCTCAGGATTCTATTTAGTCATCTATGCTCATTTCCTTGTCCACTCAGTTGGTTATGGATACAGGCAGTCCCCAAGTTACTAACAAGATAGGTTCTATAAGTTGAATTTGTTTGTAAATCAGAAGAGGTACATTTTTAAGTGTAACTTCAGTCATATATATGCTTTTGGATAGCATAGGGAAGGGTTAACACCCATGTGGTGCTTGTTTGGCAGTGTGTTCAGAAGATTTCACCTCACTTTCTGTCCCTGTGATATTTGAATTTTTTAAAAAAATGACTTGCTGTGGAAATAAGAATTGGAGATAAAACTTCAGTGGAAACCTCTTTTCCTCATGATGATAACTCTTTCAGGAGTGATTTTTTCTTCTGAGGGGTAGATTTCTTTCACTTCCTGTTGTCTCACCCTCATTTGTAACTAAGAGTCGTTTGTAAGTTGGATATTTGTAACTCGGGGACAGCCTGTAGTATTTAAATGGCAGAAGCTGTAAAACAACAGTATAATTTCTGTTGTTAGTCATCATGTTTTTTGAGCAACCATAGTGCATGAGCTTCTTCATTTGCAGACTAGAGCTACATCAGATGATCAAACGAAGTATCAATGGAAAATATTCCACAGCAACCCACACTGTTGATCTCTAGACTCACAGTGATAATTTGCTGGTGACTTCTAAGATCTTTCAGGCAATTTTGTAATGATTAAGGGTTCTTGCCTCATAATACTGAACCACGAAGTGCCAAACTTCAAGGATTTAGCTGTTTTCTTTCTTACTTTTGAGTAAGAAGCAGCTTCTGGTAGGAGCACTTGTGTCAGGAAGCAAGAAACTTTGATCTGGCCTCTTGTTTTGGTTGCCATTATTCCAGTTTGTTTTGTAACAACTTCCACAAAAAAACAAAACAAAACCCTGAAGAAACACTGGAAATAAGCAATATTTTTTTGTCAAAATCTCCAATATGCATACTTTGTACTACTATGAATTTGTAAACCAAAATTCCAAACTTTTACGAAGTTATACCAAGAAGAAACAAGGCAACCAATAAAGAAAAAAGGCAATTTTAAATTAATAATTTGTAAACTATTTTACAGGATAAACAGATTGGGTTGGAATACAACAGTATTATACAAAACACACAAGAGTATCCAAGTATTTCTAAACAACTTCTTTAAAAAACCAAGGACAAACTGTTAGATTCTGTTCATAAACTGAAATTAAATGAAGCCTAAGGCACAAAGATTTTTTATGAAAGCTTTTATAACACATTTGAAGAAGAATGTGTACCATATCTACTCATTTTCTTTAATTCCATTATAGGGGGGAAATCAAATACCGGGATTGTGGCAGATCTCCAGAAGCCTACTTTTATCCACACCAAATATTAGATATTATAGTCCGGTTTCACTCAATAATCACTGTTTTAAAATATCTAATAGCCTCATAGCAAACAGGTCACTAAATTATACAGCATAAAATTGTAAACTCCAGTCTGAATCCTTAAACACTCTACAAGAGAACCTTTTATGGTACCTTCTAAATATAGCTGACCTTAATATTAGAAATAAATCTCTATCGAGAGCAGTAGTCATCACAGATGCCTTTGATTTAATTACTGGGATTTTCTTTTTCATCCAAGAATGAGCTTTCGCTCTTATCAGCACAGTCACGGGAAAAGAATGAAGCAGAGGATGATGAACAGTCAAAATGGGCCCTTTCACACAACATAATTATAGCCCTTTGTTTCCACTCTAAGTGTCAACATGGTATGAAATCTTGGGGTTTCTACATTGGTTGAAAACGTGGTTGTGGGACCAGGCTTTCGGGTAGCAGGCTGACAATGACAATGATGACAATGCTATGGAAAATGGGCTATGGACAGGCTTCTGATTGTGTCACTGGTTGCAGAAGTTTGGTTATAAATAAGGCTAACCAGCAGCATTATTTTAAATGGATTTAATTTTAAACTGATTTAGTGTTTTTACTTATATATAATTATTGTATTGATTATGTTGTATGTGGGGGCATCAAATCATTGCTGGCTGTAAGCTGCCCTGAGTCCCCCTGCGGGGGTTGAGAATAGCAAGCTACAAATATTTGAAATAAATAAATTGGTGAGGAGGTACTAGAACTGCATTTCTGGCCCTGGCATTTCTGATGCTCTAATTTAGAATTCTGAATGCCCACCTTAAATTGTAAATTCCAGGACTCTGTAGGCTGGAACTATATCAGTTAAAGTGGAGTCTTAAGATGTGTCTACACAGGGGCCCCTGGTGGTACAGTGGGTTAAACTGCTGAGCTGCTGAGGTTGACGGTTCAAATCCGGGAAGCAGGGTGAGCTCCCACTATTAGGTCCAGCTTCTGACAACCTAGCAGTTCAAAACACGCAAGAGTGAGTAGATAAATAGGTTTTGTTTCTGTGGGAAGATAAAGGCACTCCATGCAGTCATGCCAGGTGGTGTCAATAGACAATGCTGGCTCTTTGGCTTAGAAATGGAGATGAGCACCACCCCCAGAGTCAGACACAACTAGACTTAATGTCAGAGGAAACCTTTACCTTTACTGTACACTGTAGAACTGATGTAGTTTGACACCAACTGTCATGGCTATGAAATTTTAGGGGCTTTTTACAAGGTTTTTTGCCTTGCTCACCCAACTCCGGCTCCCGGGATTCCATAGCAGTATTTATTAATTTAGCTGCAGTAAACCTATGAATCAGGATAAGAGCATAATAGCAACATTTCTTCCCAAACTGGGTCAATGAATACATGATCAAAGTACAGGGAGATGTGTTGTCACGATGCAAAGTGGTTGGCAGGTTGAAGATGGTCCTTTCCCCCTTTCTTGCCTCAACTTTCTGGCTGAAGGTCCTTTTTTGTGTGGCGTAGCAATTTTCCCCCAATAAACAGATTTCCTTTTCTGATCTTCAGTTCCATTCAAATTTTAAAAAGAGAATATATTCTTCCACAAAGGAAGTGTAACAAAATGCCTGCAAGTGTTATTAAAAAGGGAAATATTTCCGGTTACTTAGTGCGAAGGAACATGCCACAAAGAGAAAGGCAGAATTCCCTTCTCCTACGTTTTGTCCTTCTGACTAATAACCATAGTAGAAGTGATTTCTGAAAACATTTTCATGTATTTGTGTGTTGTTTTCCCCCACTTAAGATGTACAATTTCACCAGTTTTGCTGTCAGTCTCAATGAATTGGAAAAGGGCATGGAAGAAGTGTTGGCCCCCACTGATTGCCGATTGCGGCCAGACATCAGACACATGGAGAACGGAGAAATAGGTAGGAGGGTGCAAGGCATCGGTATGTAGCCTAGAAACTGAGTAATTGTATTCTTCTGTATTACTTGTTTTACTTGTATTTCTTCAGCTTATAGAGCATAAAAGGGAAGTTTTTGAGAGAAGCAATGGCAACTGTTTTAGAAAGTAGGAAAGGATCCTCCCATGCTCCTATCTTCTATTTTGGTTGAGCTGCTTTGAATGGACAGATAGTAAGGTGCCTCCCCTGGGTTCATATCAAGCAGGAGATTGGCAAATTTTGGCTTAGTGGTTTTTGCGTTTCCGATCCTTAATATGACTTGGAGTAGGGTTGAAATCTGTTACCATCCCAGTCCCCCCAACTGTTGAAAACCTCTCTCTCTGAATAGAGGGAAATTATAATGATCACAATGATAAAATTTCCTTTTTTGGGGTAAATTGCCAGAGTTGGACCCAACAGTCAAAATTAAAATAATGGTTTGTGAAAGAATAGATCTATCTGGAACTGTAACCTTGGGGTCTGCTATTTTTTTTTAAGTATACATGTTGCTTTTATCTTTTGTGCTTTTAAAAGGGATGATACTGGCGTGAATAACATTTGAATAAATTGGTCTGAGTCATGACTATATATTAGAAGCGTAGTCCTAAAATGTTGTGGATTTTATTTCTCCACCTTTCATTCCTTTTGTATTACTCTCTCTCCTTATTTCATAAAGTAATCAGTCCCTTTTGAAATGTCTATTAGATCTGGCTAGCAAAGAAAAAGAGAGGCTAGAAGAGAAGCAGAGAGCGGCCCGAAAGGAACGTGCAAAAGATGAAACTGAATGGAAAACAAGGTAATGAATGCGGCTTGGGGTGGGAGAAGAAACTCTCACTGCCTATAGGAGCAGCAGTTATGGCGCAGTGCATCAATTCTTGTGTTTTAAATTGCCATGTTTTTCAAGTATATTATTCCAGAGCAAAGCACTTTAGCATAAATCCTGTGTGTTACGCCTAACTAGAGTAGATTCATTAAATGAGTGCGATTTGCCCACATGTTGACTCTACTGTTCAAGAATTGATTCAATGAATCTACTTTAGTTGGGATTGACCAAAGGATTCCAGTTTAAAAATGCGGACATAGAATCAGCAAGAGTTTTGACATTCTGATATCAAGACATTTGCATCTGTTCCATAAACTGTAGTAGAAAGAGTATTAGCATAAGGTTGCTGTGAGTTTTCCGGGCTGTATGGCCATGTTCCAGAAGCAATGTCTTCTGACATTTTGCCTGCATCTATGGCAGGCATCCTCAGAGATTGTGAGGTCTGTTGGAAAACTAGGCAAGTGAAGTTTATATATCTGTGGAAGGTTCAGGGTGGGAGAAAATACTCTTATCTGCTTGAGGCCAGTGTGAATATTGCAATTGGAAACATTGATTAGCATTTAATGGCCTTGCTGCTTCAAAGCCTGGCTGATTGTTTCCTGGGGAACTCCTTTCTTGGGAGGTCTTAACTGACCCGCATTGTTTTCTGTCTGGAATTCCCCTGCTTTTTGAGTGTTGCTCTTTATTTACTGTTGTGATTTTAGAGTCTTTAAAAACTGGTAGGCAGATTTTGTTCACTTTCATGGTTTTCTCATGTCTGTTGAAATTGTCCACATGCTTGTGGATTTCAGTGGCTTCTCTGTATAGTCTGACATGGTGGTTGTTAGGGTGGTCCAGCATTTCTGTGTTCTCAAATAAATATGCTGTGTACAGGTTGGTTCATTGGGTGCTCTATGGCTGATTTCTCTGGTTGAATTAGTCTGCAGTGCCTTTCATGTTCTTTGATTCATGTCTGGTCAATGCTGCGTTTGGTGGACCCAGTGTAGACTTGTCCACAGCTGCATGTTATATGGTAGACTTCAGCAGAGGTGAGGGGATCCCTCTTGTCCTTTGCTGAACGTATCATTTTTTGAATGTTCTTAGTGAGTCTGTAGATAGTTTGGAGGTTGTGTTTTGTCATCAGCTTCCCTATGTGGTCAGTGGTTCCCTTGATATATGGTAAGAACACTTTTCCTCTGAGTGGATCTTTGTCTCTATTCTCGTAGCTTGCTCTTGGTCTTGCAGCTCTTCTGATGTCTGTGATGGAGTCTCCATTGGTCCATAGAGCTCACTTCAGGTGGTTCAGTTCACCTTGGAGGAGGTGGGGTTCACAGACTTTTTTTTGCCAGGACTTTAATTGTGCTTCTTTTTTTTACTTGGATGATGGTTAGAGTTTTCATGTAGGTATCTATCAGTGTATGTAGGTTTCTGTAAACTGTGTGGCCCATTGTTGATCTGGTTTGCGGATAACTAGGACACCTAGAAATGGCAGTTTTCCTTCATTTTCTTTTTCCATGGTGAATTGGTTGTTTGGGTCGATGCTGTTGAGGTGGTCCAGGAACTTGTTTAGTTCTTCTCCTCCATGGCTCCAAATGGTGATGGTGTCATATGCATATCTGAACCATGTAGTGGTCTTTTTTGTTGATGTTTCCAGGGCTTGTTTTTCAAAGTGTTCCATGTAGAAATTTGCTATGACCGGACTGAGAGGGCTCCCCATGGCTCCTCCATCTTTCTGTTCATAGAATTCATTGTCCCACTGAAAGTAGCTTGTGGTAAGGCAGTGGCGAAACAGCATTAGTATACTTACTAAATATTGAATTACATTAATATTGAATGGATGGGCAAAACATGGTCAACTAGATTGCTAAGAGGTGGCAGAAGCACATGTGTCCTTAAAATCAAGAAAGCAATGCATCTCATCACACACATTTTCATGCCAAGAGTCTCAGTATTCATCCTCAGAACAATCCCATCTGAAATCCTAGAAAGCTATTGACAGGTCAGGAAGGTCAATACTCAATAATAGGAGACTTCCTCTGTTCTAGAAATATAAAGCACATTATTACAGGGCCAATGGCAGTCGAAAAACCTGTATCTGTTGTGACCAGTTCTTTTGCTCAGAACTATAAATGCAAATTATGTTGTTCCGACAGATGCAAAGTGCATGTCAGGTTCAGGTGATCATGTTGATAGCCCTGTGCCTGAGGAAAAAAAGACTGGTGATAGGGTCTTTATTCCATTTATGGCACTATTAGAATGAACTTCTACCAACTTTGTGGGTTTTTATTTACTTCCTTTTTTTCTTTTCCCCCCACAGATGGTTTTATCAAGGAACTAATCCATATCTCGGGACTCCTGACTGGTTATACACAGGAGGGTACTTTGATAGAAACTTCTTTGACTGTCCAGATATATACTGAAATTTTGAATGCAGTTGCTCCTTTGCCCAGGAATCAGTCGACTTCAATGAATCAAGTGACGCTCTGGCTTTACCACGACTAGAAAGCACCTTTTTTTCTAAAGCAAAGTTTTAATGAAAAGTATCAGTTGCTGATCAAGGATTTCTCATTTGTTTTGATTGCCAAAATATTTAAATATTGTTTCCCCCCCTCTTTTGAAGGTACGGCCTGAAATTAATCATGTTTCAGAAGAAAGTGGCTGCCATGTTTTTTTGTTTGCTTTCCCTTATCTATCATTTTACGTTTCATTAACAAATCGTAGTGAGTGGAGAGGCTGTGCCTTTATTAAAACTGAGCTGACAGCCACATGGTTCCTTTTATTGTAGCTATAAAGGATGCCTTTAGAGTATTCACTGCTCGGAGAAACAGTGCTGAGTCGGTACAAAGAAATGCAGTTGTGGCCATTGGAGAGGTATCTCATAGGAATTGGAGCAACTGGGATTCTTGGGAGTAATTTCTGAATCATTTCTAATTTTAAAGGCTTCACAGTTGTAGCAAGAGAACATTAGGCTTAGGTTTCAGAAGCTGTTACTCTATTCTGCCTCAGTCTTTGGCACTGTGATTATCAATTCAAGGAAGTACCTGTGACATTTTTTTTAAAAAGACAAACTACTATAGTGAATGTTCGGTGCGGCTTGTAGGTATTCCTACAAACACTCGCCTGTCTGAGGTTTCAGAACATTTTGTTTCTAAAACACAGGAGATTTTGGAGATATTTCTAGGAACATGGGTGTTGTGCATAGATCATGTATGAAATCAAACATTTTTGCTTCTGTTCAGATACTTTTTTGTCTCCAGTACTGCTTTTGGCAGCCTGACACAATTCAGGATGTTTAGGCTGATTTGCAAACATGCACCCTTCTCCTTCTTTGGCTTTACTTGGAATGTATCTACAAAAGGTTTATGTTTGTTTTACATTTTAGTGCATGTTTTGAAGTATTTACTACATTACAACCTGTAGTATCTTCTTAAAAAGCAATGGCTATCTTCTTATTTTTGGCTAAAACTGAGTGACATGATGGAAGCTTTCACTGACTTTCCAATAGGGATAACTTTCCTGAGAGTGGATTTGTTCTTTCAGATTTAAAATATGAAAGCCATATAATCCCAAATTTGTTTGAATTTTGAGGGGAAATATTTTTCTTTTTACTTATGTATTTCCATAAGAAAAGTGAATCTTTGTATGTGAGAGCTATAAAAAGAAGTTATAAATTGGCCAGATGTTTAAAATGCTTCAAAAACTAAATTTAGGTAGATTCAAACATGGTATGAAAGGTTCATAGAAACCAATTTAGTGATTAGGGTATGACAATAATCAGTTAAGCAATCTGCTATACCACTTTGGATATTCCTCCATTATCCTTATGCAAATGTATGGCCATATACGTATTGTTGGATTGCAACTCCCATCATCCTTTTCCATTGGCATCACTGATGGGAGTGGTAGTCTAGCTTCTGAAAGGTCATATAATCTCTGATTTAAAATGTCCATCCTGGCTAATGGTTTTTATACTTGCAAATGTCAATCTCCAACTTAGTGTTTGAGTTTTATCTAAAGGGGAATGAAACATTCAAAGACAAGGGAAAAAGCAATGGGTTACACAGATTTTTTCCCCACAGTGCCTATAAAGCAGGAGAACTTGACTTCGGAGAACATTTGAGGCAATAAAAGACACTACTTTGAGAAGTGTCTCTGACCAGTGTGTACCTTGTTCTGAGCACTTAAACCCAATGTCCTTGAGTGTAATTTAGTACATGTAGTAGTACCGTGTTCTCCCTTCCTTTCAGTGGGCTTTCCCTTTAAGGCACTTGGCCACACATTTACTCATATTATTTGTGTTTCTCTTTCCCGTTGCATTGAATACTGCTACTGATTACAATTGAATTAATGGTAGGGAAACAAATAGTAAATTTCTCTTGTTTTCTCCAATATTTGATTCCATCCAGAAAGCAGTAGTCATTTTCCTCCCTCTCTCTTCCTTGCCAAACATTCAAGTTGCAAGGAAAAGGATCCCCACAACAAGTAAATAAATATAAGTATAATAAAAACCGATTCTACTTTTGCCCAGTAAAGCCTGATGGATAGATTGGGATATCTGGAGCCCTAATAGCCTGCTCATAGGAATAATAAAGTTTTGAAGTGAATTTTCCCCTGTTACAAGTTCCTAAGAAATGTGTAACTTTTGAGTCAAAAATCTATATTGAAAATGCTACATCTGCTCTTGCCTTCTCTGTAGAGACAAATAGAGATCTGTGATGTCGAAGGCTTCATGGCCGGAATCACTGGGTTGCTGTGAGTTTTCCGGGCTGTATGACCGTATTCCAGAAGCACTCTCTCCTGACGTTTCCCCCACATCTATGCTAGGCATCCTCAGGGGTTGTGAGAATCTCACAACCTCTGAGAATGCCTGTCATATATGTGGGTAAAATGTCTGAAGAGAATGCTTCTGGAACATGACCATACAGCCTGCAAAAAATCACAGCAACCAAAATAGAAATCTGTCCAATATTTGAATTTCAATTTGCAGAAGAAACTCATTACACTAGACTTATTTTTTTTAATGTACAGATAAATATTTCATTTAGATTCCACCACGAGGTAAAAAATAACGCCTTGTATTTTCTGAAATGTTCAATTATGTTGAAATTCATGCTTTGTTTCTATTTATAACAGTCTATGTTTAGTTTTTAAAGAAGAACAACAGAATGTAATTGTCCCATAAACAGTCAGTAAATAATGTCTACCTGTTCTGCGTCCCATCCTTCCTTCCCAGGCAGACACCATGTTAATGTCTTGGATACATCACTGGTTCTTGCGCCATGTATTTAAAACACCACATGGGGAAACCCAGGGTTCCTCTGCAGCTTAGGTGGGATCGCTTAGTAACTGCTTCTCTACAAAGGATGGCTCCTACTGGGAGTAACTAGTTCTTACAGATTGCAAAATAATTTTTCTAATCTTTGAGCCATTAATTTCTGTCCTGCCTCATCAATCTAAGAGGTCAGAAGAGCTTCAAATTAATACCCATACTAAACCTCGAGGGTCTTAAGAGCTTTAATGATCATGTATTGTTGAAGGCTTTCATGGCTGGAATCACTGGGTTGTTGTAAGTTTTCTGGGGTGTATGGCCATGTCCCAGAAGCATTCTCTCCTGATGTTTTGCCTGCATCTAGGTTGTGAGGTCTGAGGATGTCTGCCAGAGATGCAGGTGAAATGTCAGGAGAGAATGCTTCTGGAACATGGCCATACAGCCCATAAAACTCACAACTACCCATTTAATGATCATGTTAAATTACATTACTTTAAAAAGATACTCACTTGTTTTGTTTACATTAAACTTGCACTTGTTCTTGGTACCATCTTCTTAATTCAAGCACTGCCTTACAAGAGCTGACAATTTGACGCCTCTCCGAGGAGGAAAAAGCACTTTTAAAACTAATCATGTTAACTGTTAAGGTAGATATAACTGAAAGATTGTTTTTTAAAAAAATAAATAAAAAATGGAGAATAGTTACTTATTTGCTTGGCTGCTCATTTCCCATTTTATCTACCTTGATCTGTGGGTTTGAATTAAGGCTTTGTGCATAAATTAGTCCCAGCACAAAAGTATTGCTTCCTCTCTGATACAAAGGAGGACTTCGATGTCCACATGTGTATCCTCAATGTGAGACTGAAGTAAATAGGAAAACTTTGCCAGCACAAAGGATGTATATATTAAATCTTGGTTCAGCTTTTGTCAGGATCATTATTTTGCCTCTTGGTAAGGAGGTAAACTCTATTTACTTCAAGATAGATGCAACATTATCACAATCTACAGCTATAAGAAAATAAGACAACACTAGAATAGATCACTTTTGGCATACAATGTAGGTCATTAACCTGCAATAAAATAAATATCTCAGTAATATATTTTACAGATACCTAATACAGCCAGAAACCTAGTTATTGCTTCATTTCAACATGCAGTTTATATAACTGGCTGCATTGCTCTTACATTTGATTTGACAAGGTTCCAGATTTCTGAAAACACTACTAATTTTACTAGCAAGGTGGCATTGAGTGCACAGTATAGTTTGGGTTTTTAAAATTCCATTAATTTCACTCAGATATGAAAATATAATTGAGTTTATCCCTATCACACCTAGTCTACAATCTGTAATCGATCATACAGTATAGAGCAAGCATGGGCAACTTTGATCCTCCAGGTGTTTTGGACTTCAACTCCCATAATTCCCAACAGCCTCAGGCCCTTTCCTTTTCCTCCTCAGCCACTTAAGATGCTGTTAGGAATTATGAGAGTTGAAGTCCAAAACACCCGGAGGACCAAAATTTGCCCATGCATGTTATAGAGGTATTTTAACTTATGATACATTTGTGAATCCTTGACTTAAAACGTTAAGATGCAAAACTTTGTTTTCATGACAAATTATACAAAATTATAGAATTCTGACTGATGTATAAACATTTTAAGTCAGCAGTTATAAACTCATAGACAAAGATATGTGAATCACAAAGGTCTTTCACAAGCTTTCCAAATACATATTTTTTGCTCGAAGTGTTTCTTCCCAAATATGGACAAGTTCCAAAAATCTTTGGATCACTGACATGTGATTCTGAAAAATAAAAATATCTATTTTGTGTTGTAATCATCCAAACAGTTCAGATGGCTGGTGTGGTCTTTAATCTTCCTCCTGTTCACTGTACTCTGTGTACTTAAATGAAATGTAGATGTTCCTGTTCACGTAGTGTTTTAAAACTTACATTAATTTCACAATGTACTGTAATGTTGCCTCTCAAAATACATACGTGGTTTGGGGTTAATTGTAAAATAAAGCAATATTTAAATTTATGTAAAGCTAATGGTTCTAACACAGAAATTGATTTTTTTAGTATGATTTTTATAGCATGGGGAGGGGGAGTAAAACATTATATATATAAGTATCTATATACCCCTTGCTCCCCAGTTTCCCAGTCCACTCTCTGCTGCTACTGTTGTTGTTCTGTTTTGCCTTCTTTGTTTTGCTTTATCCCTGTTAATAATTTGCATACACTGTACAATCTGCCTGGAATTATTTTTTTGGTCCAAGTCACTTGAGTGGGGCTTGTTCTGGAAAGCAATACCAGGCTGACTGTGCCCCACTGTCTTCTTTTTTCCCCCTTTCCCATGTTGCATGAAAAATGTTGGAGGATATTAATAAAAAAAGGCTTTAGTGAAATGGATTTATTTTTATAATATTTAATAACTGTCAATACCCATCTATATTAACTATATGAAATCATATTACCTTTTTAGATAAGTCTGTACAGGTTTGTGGACTTAAATGTTTAAAATGTCAAAGCAAATAAAGGTTGTTTTGGAGAAGAGAACTAGTTCCCATTCCCGTGTCTTGTGTCATTTGGCTTCTTCCTTATTTCCCCTGCCCATGAACTCTGTCCCTTCTGAATTACTTTAAAATGAGATTCTATAACAGAGATTTCCATACTTTTCGTGTGGGTGGCATGCTTTTTCGACATTCATCCTTCTGCAACACGGTAATTCAGTTTTACTGGCAAACCAGAGGTTAAACAGGCATGGGCAAACTTTGGTACTCTAGGTCTGTGGTTCTCAACCTTCCTAATGCCATGACCCCTTAATACACTTCCTCGTGTTATGGTGATTTCCAACCATAAAATTATTTTTGTTGCTACTTCATAACTGTCATTTTGCTGCTGTTGTGAATCGTAAATATTTGGTATGCAGGATGTACGTTCATTCACTGGACCAAATTTGGCACAAAAACCCAATAAGTCCAAATTTGAATACTGGTGGGATTGGTTGGGGGGGGGGGATTGATTTTATCCCGTGGGATTTGTAGTTGCTGGGACTTATAGTTCACCTACAACCAAAGAGCATTATGAACACCACTAATGATGGAATTGAACCAAACTTGGCACACAGAACTCCCATAACCAACAGAAAATACTGGAAGGGTTTGGTAGGCATTGACCTTGAGTTTTGGAGTTGTAGTTCACCTACATCCAGAGAGCACTGTGGACTCAAACAATGATGGATCTGGACCAAACTTGGCATGAATACTCAATATGCCCAAATGTGAACACTGGTGGAGTTTGGGGAAATAGACCTTGACATTTGGGAGTTGTAGTTGCTGGGATTTATAGTTCACCTACAATCAAAGAGCATTCTGAACCCCACCAAAGATAGAATTGGACCAAACTTCCCACACAGAACCCCCATGACCAACAGAAAATACTGTTTTCTGATGGTCTTTGGCGACCCCTCTGACAACCCCCTTGTGACCCCTCCAGGGGTCCCGACCCCCAGGTTGAGAAACACTGCTCTAGGTGTTCTGGACTTCAACTCCCGCAATTCCTAACATCCTCAGGCCCCTTCCTCCCCCCCCGGAGGGCCAAAGTTTGCCCATGCCTGAGTTAAACCAACCCCTTATAAAAGTTTCATACAATCAGGATCCACTTTCCCACTTCAATTTCTTAATGTGTAATTAGGAAATAGGAGTGAAGAGTCCAGTCACTTAAGAGGCCAACAGTGGTAATGGCAGAAGGAAGTGGGATATCTCCATTTGCTTATCAGGAGCAGCAGTAATTAGGTTTCAAACGAGATTTCCTTTTGCGCCTTTGCCAATTAGTGTTTAATGGGAAACCGACCTCACAGATAGATTCTCTCCATTTCGATAGCTCTGTGAAGAGTCGAAAACACAATTACTGACTTTCCTTTTTTTCTATATAGTCAATGAGGTGAGACATTGTCGCTTCCAATGAAGGACTCTGCCTCCAAGATAAACGCAATCTATTA